GCTTTTAGCGCTGAAAGTGCGCTCCCCGAACGCACCTTCAGTAGGCAGTTAGCAACATAATCCGTTCAAATTTCCTATTTCCTAGTTACTTTTAGTGGTGGTACTACTGCTTACACAATTCGACGTGACGGCAAGAGAGAGAAACGAATTTAGAGAAAGAAAGAACACCAATTGAGCACACCAGAGAGAGCACACCATGTAATCCTTAAGCCCATCACACAATGCCAGGCAACAGGCAACAGGAATAGGGAATAGAATTTTTGACGCGTTGGATTGGTTGAAGGAAAATTTCCGACGAATCCAACGCGTCAAAAATTCTATTCTCTATTCCTATTGCCTGTTGCCTGGCATTGTGTGATAGGCTTAACACTATGACCCCGTGTCATAAACGCACCACGCGTGTTCGGGTTAACCTCAAAGTTCTGCCTGCGCTCCAGTTTGGAATGCGCGAGACGAGATTATGCCGAGAATAGTCGAGTCCCTGAAGAAGCTGAACATCAAGAACGACGCTGGAGCGCACGGACCCGACGAAATGGCCGGCGAGAAAACCGAGTTGACGCTGTCACTAGAAAAAGTGGTGTCTCGCGATCAGAACTACATCCTTTTCGTGTGTGGGACACAAAGGCAAGTTCCAAGTTCAAATCTTCTTATAGAACATCTTCTGTCAAGTCTGTGCAAACGTGTGTGCTTCAATGTTTCTACTGTTGTATGTTTTCTGAAAATATTTGGCTGTATATTTATCGTACACATCACCGATCCAATTTTTAAACAAGTACTCTATCAAAGACACGGGACTAACTTGTATATTTTTTAATATACAAAGCACTGTTTGTATTATATTTCTTTTTATTACAATAAAGTATACATTTTTTAGCGTTTGATATATTATTTTCTAAATGGGTATTTTTCTTTAATAAATCTACATACTTTTTTCAATCATTTTTACTGTTTACTAATTTGGAACAGTTCCTTGCTCTTTACGCTTGATAGAGGATGATCTGCTATTGTTCAGAATGTCTTACTGTTATTTTTATGAAACATTGTCTGTTTCAAAACAGCGAGCCGGAATTTAAGATCGGAGCCGCATTGTCGGATCATTCGTGTGCGATATATTCCGTTGGCGAATCCTTAAGCAAAACGGTTACACTGAACCATACTCAAGCGACTATCGTAGGAATTAAGTTCAGTCCTACTTCTAAAGATATATTTTACGTCGCAGCTGACAATGGATTAATCACGGCCTGTGATCTGCGTGCCAAAGGAAAAGTCGTGGCAGAATTCAAAGGTAACTGCGACTCGGCTCCAACAGCCGTAAACTTAATTTACCCATTGATAAAAATTGTCATCGCATCGCGACATTACAGACGACACGGAAAACGGCAAATTGAAGCCTTTGGCCAGCTTCGACCTTAGCTGCGACGAAATGCTCCTAGCCGGCGGGACGGAGCACACGAGTGGCGATGCGTTTATCCTGTTTTGGGACGTGAGGCAAACTGGTGCGAAAGTAGGAAATAAGGACAATATCCTTGGCGGATATTGGGAATCGCATATAGACGATGTTACTTGTCTCACCTTTCATCCCGCCAAACGAAATGTTTTGGCGTCGGGCAGCACTGACGGTCTCATTAATATCTTCGACCTGACGCAGTCCACGGAAGATTCGGCCTTGACGTCCTCGTTAAACACCGAATCATCAGTGGTGAGAAAGAAAATCAATTCTGCTTTGTACAATGTGACAATGTGAAGATCTTGTTAATCAGCCACTTGTTTTTTTTTAGGACAGGCTAGGTTGGTTAACTGAAGATTCTCTGTGGTGTACGACACACACGCACGATTTGCAACTGTGGGAATGCGAAGGTGCTTGTGCGTACGAAACATTCGCACGTAGTGATTTAGCCCTGTCGAGGGTGTGTGTGGTTTTTACAATTGCATCGCCGTTTATCGCTTCTCAAAGAATTTACAAATTCACGGATTCCATTTGTTGCAGAATGATGATCCTGATAATTGTTATTTAGTGAGATGCCACGCCACAAATGCGTTCGGACAACCATTCCTGTTGGCAGGTTCTAGTACAGCTAAAAGGTATTGCTTTGTAACAATAATAAGTGTACTTGTAACTATTTAAAAGAAACGGATTTTTCTTATACTGTTGCCATAGAATTACCGCAAGAAGAGATTTATTATCTTAAATAATGTACTGACATGGATATTAAGTGTCTTAATATATAACATTTGTACTTTTTCAGCGAAAATCTAAGATGTTTGAATATTAGGAAGAATTGTCTGGAAACGCTTTACGAAATTGTAGGGAATAAACAAGTAGTAAGGGACAGTTGGGTGCACGAAAAGGTAAATTAGTAGATGAAAGAATTATCTCAAAACTCTCGATTCCCGGAGAATTCTCGATTACCATCTTGCATTCTCAATTCTGTAGAGCGGTAGCTTGGTGACGGTCGGCGAGAAGGGCATTGTCAACGTGTGGCAACAAGCGGAATCGCCGACGCAGCAAAGTTCGGGTCATGAATTGTCGACTAAGATTGGAACCGGCCGTGACAGGCATCACAGGACTAAACCCTACTAAAATAACTACAGTTAGAAGAAAAAAATACAAAATTTGTTATTCCAAAGTGTTGTGAAGGCTCCCGAAAAGAAAATACGTAGAAAAGAGAGAGAGTGCCAATGTGAGCCACAAAATGAACGCAACTCTGTTCTCACAAAATAGAAACAAAATTTCTCTTTAATATAAACGTTTCAACCCTACTTCGGATCTTCCTCGGTAAAACTCGTTTAGATCGAATAAAGCATATCTTAGAGGTCAGAGCACTATGTGACTTCAGAATCATTCCTCTATCCACGTTAATATCAGTGAATCTCCAAATGGTCCCAGACATAAAGAGGACTGAATAAATCAAGTCGACAGAGGGATGAATTTAAGTTTGAGCCCATTATATTTTTGTTCAGCAGGTCATAAGCTACAACATATGTGAAAACTAGCCAATTTAACCGAGATCCAATTTCCTATATGATTAGTGCGGGGTTCTTTGTTAATGCGAGTTTTTTAAAGTGATAATAGCGGAATTGGAACGTCGGTTAAAACGTCACGATTGTATATTTCCCTCGCATTCTTCTTTATTACAATAACAGTTGTATGTACATTTATAATAAATAGATATTTGTTTATGCGATTAATTATTCAACGGCGAGTCATATATCGATAAAAAAAAATGCAACCACGGAGTTCCGTGGTGTAAATGCTAAGGAATGTAAATCACATGTAACCGCAGATACATGGAATTAATAGACGTGGAAGAAAAGAACGGGACAGATTCGCAGGAGTCACGCGCGCGACTCACAAGGAAACGCATTCCTTTCTGCCGTAGCGAGATTAGGATTAATAAAACGGGACGACTGTTGGCAATCGTCGTAAAGAGGACTCGTGTCGTGCAATCAGTACTCGTGACAAAGAACGATCAACCAAATAATCCGATAATAACAATCGATAGTAGTTTACAGTCTCTGCGTTTGAAAATCGTCAAGGTTCAAGGGACCAGGTAGACCCACCCCCCGTCGCCGATCCGTGAGCGTATCAATAACCAAACACGCGTCCGCTTATTACACATTATATAATATTATTACATTAACGATTCAAAAGACGATCGCAGTAGCGAGTATCACAATGATAACAGTAGATATAGTTTTAGAGCGAAACGGTAGTATAGGTACAGACTAAACGTACAAAAATACTTCCCATGAGCATCGGGGACGTAAAGATTCGCTAAAACGTGGAAAACCGCGTTACTATAACTTCATTTATATATATGTATATATATATCATCTTTATAGATATATATCCTTTTTCAAACTTTGCGTCGCCACGTGACGTTATACTAGAAAAAAAAAGGAAACAAAAAGATACGAAACGCCACGAGACACGCGTAGGCCGTCGCGCTGTTCCTCAGCTGTCGCCGATTTGATTATCCAGCGGGATTGTGTGCGACTTCATTCTCTTATTACGGACATGTCAGTCGACGGAGACGGGAAATTGCGACAACTCGTCGCTCGCGCACCGTGACAGTGCCAGACAATTTGCTCCAATTGCATCATATCTTCCGGGATAAGAGATTGTCTTCCCGAGTCTGACGGAAGTTACGACTAAAGTTAACTTTTGTTTTTTCGTCACACGGTAGATATATATATATATACACGTCTGTACGCGATGAAGTCGAACACTCGTCCGCAGCGGACGCTACAACAGCTACAATCGCAAAATATCACCTCGCGAGCTTGTCACACGCTCGGCATCGCAAGTAGATAGTAAATAGTAGTAGTAGACTTGTAATAAAGTCGCTTATATCCTCTCTCTCTCTCTCTTTCCTCGTTTTTCTATCTCGCATAACTCGAATATACCTCTTACAGAATACTTTTTTTAAGATCTATTGTCACCGTGATTGATTGAGACGAACTTGCAGTATTATTACTTAAGTTTCCTTAACGAGGCTAATTCATTAGATTCATTAGATGTCTCTTCCTTGTCCGCGGTGCCTCGACGGTTTCTCAGCTTGTCTTTCAATCCGATCGTACCGCACGCCAGTTTTATTTGTTAAGCCTAATCTACAACGTGTTCTTTCTGCATCTAGAAATTCTATTTTATACAAACAAATCGAAACGTTTAAAAAATTTACCGACAATGTACAATTGTACGATTGTATAATATAAAATTTATCCACTTGCGCAAATTTTTTAAGCGTATTTGTTCATTATAAAATAGAATGTTTCTAGACGCAAAGAGCACATTGTAGATTAGGCTTTAAGGAATGTACATTTACATACTTGCAGAGTATTACAACTATGATCGTTCACGAACCAAGTTCAAAGATTAACAATTCAGAGACGTACTGACAATACGATACTTAATAAATATAGTTGTCGCGATTGTCCTTTCAATTTTGGAATCCAATAGTGTGTTTGACGCCGCGTCGCAGCCGACGGACCTCATTGAGGTATGCTGAACGCGTCTTTCGCGCTCTCGCAGCACAGTGAGTCGGCGATCCAACGTGCAGTACGATCGTACCATGATTCAGAGGTTCCTCATCTACCGTTCGGCACTCGAGAACTTCCTCTTTCGTTGATAAGTGTGACGTATAAATAAGATACATTAGAGACGGGTGCACGGGATGCAAGATCCGCGAGTACCGTAGCATTACTCTCGCAACGAGCGGGACCGGGAGTTCGTTACGATCCCCACGCGGAGAGGATTTTCTTTTAAAATTTACCCCGAAGATCATGTAATCACGGAACAACGTGGCATTTTGAGGAACTTCATGAGTTTTGTGAAATTTTACCATATACTTTACTAGTAATTATACTCGGTATACATTTTACTAGTTGCACAGTTTACACAGAAAAAAATTATGTCAACAATATCAGTGTAATTAAAACAAAATTGTTGAAACATCAGTATTAATGAATGAAAAACATCAAATGTTGTCTTAATAATCTGGATATTTAACTTAATGCTTCAAATTAAAATCCATAGCAAATACAATTGAGTGAATATTTGTGGCGGTTCATGACAGCAACGTTTAATTCAAGCAACTATATAATACTTTTTTTAATTCAACAGCATTTCTTCCGTGTGGTAAAATTTCAAAGAACTGTTATAAGATTCTTTGAAATGCTGTGGTTGTCCCACGATTACACGACTTTCAGGATACATTTTAAGAGAAAATCCTCCCCGCGCACGTAATGGCCTCTCGCTTCCGCGTACAGTTTCACGCGCGGGTTCACGCGCGAACTTTCACCATCGATCTCACGCAATGCAATAAATAAAGCGTGTCTGTGGACAATAATACGAGAAGAAAGAATACGACAATAATGGCAGTGAATAATCCCGAAACGAAATGTGTCAAATGTGAAGTCCCTCCGCTGCAATTCGTTCGTGGGGTAAGAAGCCGCGTGGTGTGCCGTGCGCGCGACACACCCGCGTGGAAACAGAAATCGTGCGTACAAAGCGAACGGCTTTTGGAGACCGAGCAGTGTCGTCGACTCTTCGATCAGCGGCTTGGCACACGTACTTGATGACAATGACAATAATTCATAATTGTTAACGATAAGTTCCTATCTGTCGCTTTAGCACGTATTAAAATACTTCAATAGTCGTAAGAATAGCTACTGCGGATTCGCTCTACCATTCGCAACAGAGATTCACTTGTGCATTCACAGAGACATCACTTGACGTGCGATCGCGCGAGAGGAGTGTCGCGTCGCATACACACACGCAGATGTGTACCATACACGACTTGCCCTTTCATTCGTGCCCAGTTGCGCACACACGCCCATGCTTATGAAAAAGTATATATATGTACACACATTCCTGTATATATGTAACCGTAATATATATATATATGTATTTATCTATCTTGCATTTCAGCAAGCAGCAACAGGTTTAAAAGATTCATCTAAAATCTTGTGTTTCTAAAACTGTCAGTCGGCTTGATAACACAACGAGCAAGAATTCAACAAGATTGGCTGATCTGCTAAGCCGGCTTCTTTTCTCTCTTCACCCGATTACTTTTAATAAAAATTATGTTTTACTCTTAGTGTATCGCTCTCGTCCAGGTAGTAGTTTCGCGTAAATAGATTTGGCATAAAAATGATTATTGCCGTAAGTTGTAGCAGTTGGAACGTAATAAAGTATTACATCTCTTTCTTCCCCCAGCTATACCTAACTACTCGCGCTTATTGACGATCGTGTGGGCAACGCGGAATATCGTACATTATGACCTCGTCGTTAAAATAAATAGTCGTGGGTGCATCCTATCGCGAGACGATCAAACCCGTAGTGAGGAAAGGTTGAGCGATAGAAAGAGAAAAATGGTATATCGACGAGACATTACTAAAGAGTCGTAGCCTGCGGATTGCGTCATCGCGGGAGACTTATGTCGAAAATCAAAAGGATTTAACGCGGCTGCGGGATTGCTGGCTGCTCCTCGATTGATTACGCGGCGACTGTGCCGGCGTCGAAGTCGGCGTAGTCGTACCGGTGGTGGCAGCGGCACTGGCGCGCGACGAACGCGACGAATGCTTGCGACCGAATCGAAAGAATCGTCAGAAGAAGATGACCTCCTCCTCCAATGGTTGTTGCTGCTGCTGCTGTTGTTGCTGCTGCTGCTGATGTTGCTGCGGCGACGGTTGCGGTTGTGATTGCGGCTCGGTGTTTCGCTGCTGCGCTTGCTGATGCGCGTACGAGGTGTCGGGCGGCGAGCGAGTGATGCGAAGTGAGCGATTCGACGAATGCGTATGATTCCCGCTACAGATTCCATGATGGTGACTGTTCCCGAGCTCCGGCGACGAGTACGCGGACCCGGTGACGATCGCTGGACTGCTGCCCGCCCTGGAGTGCCGATCTGGACTGTTGTTGCTCGCGGTGCTACCGCTTCTGTCAAACGGACGACATAAGATTATTGCTTGTCGATACCGAAAGATAAACGTGATTGCGATTGTGTTTAGGATGCAACTCGAGCGACTCTACCTTGTGTTATTGTTACTTCCGCTGGCGAGCTTCAGCGGCAGCTGTTGCTTGACCGGCAGGTTACTCTGCACCTTCTGCTGATTTGTCGCGCTGATCAGATTCAATGGGACGCGCTTCGCGTCGGGCTGCCCCTTGCTGCGCGCGCTTTGTTGCATCGTGTCAGCGTTCTGCGTCAAGTGAGACAGGTGAATCATCGTTGAGCCGGTCGTGGAGCTTCCGACCAGCGTCACACCCTGTCGCTCCAATGCCTCGAGCCGTCGATACAACTGATCCCGTTGCTGCGTCACATCCCGCTGCTCCGCGGCCAGCTGCTCTCGCTGGCGCACCAATTCGGCTCGCTCCTCCTCCAGCTGGGTCTTCTCCTGCTGAGACGCGGCGCGAAACGCCGCTTTCTCCCGGCAGAGCTGGTCCTGCAAGTTCCGCAGCTCCTCCAGCTGGCGATTCGGATTCGGCCGGCTATTGGACGATTTTCCCATACTACCGTCCTTACACGCGGCCAACTGCGCCTGCAGGCTGTCGATCGTTGTCATCTGATTACTTATTATACAGAGCAACGTATAAACGTGATGAGACAAACGTATCGCCGCCCACTGCTGATCCTTGTTTGTATCCAATTCCTGGCCGTCCTTCTCGTCGGGGTTTTCTTTCGGCAGATCGCCGGGTTTCGGAACGGGGATCACGGTGTGCAGCGTGTTCGAATCACGCAGCGGGTATCTCTCCTAAAAGCGCCGAAGATTGTTTTTATTATACTGTTATCGTACAACTTGCTCGTTCATTCGTACATACTTTATTGTGATCGAAACCGGCGAACGTTTCGGCCCTTCGAGGAACGCAGAGAGCTGGCGGAACGTAAGCTTCGCTGTGGCGCTCGCCGGCGGAGCTTAAGCTTCGCGATAGAGTACCGCCGCCCGCGCTGAACGACAGCGAGCTAGCGAGACGTGTCGCTTCTTGTACAGCCACGACCACCTGCGGGAAACACAACGTTTACAGGATTAATCCAACTTACAAATTAAGGGTCCAATAATATAAATTTCTAATAGGATAGAATATGAACCTCTTGCCACAGTTGAGTGGTGTCAGTCCCTTCGTTGTGCACTAATCGGGTGTAATCGGCACCTTCCTTCTCGTGCTTCTCAATTCTCTCGTTATCGCTCTCGTTCCCGCTCCAGACGTTCGCCGCTTGCAAAAGTCGCATTTGCAAGTTGATCTTCTCCTCAAACAGCAGCGCCTGCTCTGCGTCTTTCTTCCGCAATTCGCCTGACGCGACACAATTTTTTTTTCATTCAAATTAGAAGAGTGCGACATGATATCAGAAGTTTGAAAAGAAAAAAACTAGAGAAACGTACCGACGATTCGAAGTATATGCGACTCCTTAACCTTGGCAATGCGCTGTTTCTCTTCCATGGAGACCAGCGAAATCGAGGAGGAACGAGTGTCTCGCAACTCATTGCTGTTTTCGGTCAGCGCGTCGGTCTCGTTTTCGGGATCCTGTGGGCAGGTCTCGACCGCCGATCGAATAGCCTGTATCCACATCTGTTTGTCCTTTGGCTTCTGAATTTTCAACTCGAACATTTCCGGCTCGGCTGGGTTGCTGCTTATCAGGTAAATGCTGGATTCTTGACGGGCCTTTTCGCGAACCAGCAGCTTCTGCAGCGACACTATACCGGCTTTATTGTCAGGCACGAAGAACGCGTATTTCTGATCTCTCTCAGCCAGGAAAAATAATATATCTGAGAGAACGACCACTACAATGGCAGTCATTTTGCCACGACCTTGCATTAAGTATGCAGTGCCCTCGAACTTCAGGATTCTGTTAATTATATCCGACTTCTTGAATTTGGCACCACGATACGTCGCGAACGACTTGGCGTCGATCCTGCAAAGACGTGTCGTTATTTATAGTCTCGCAAAAAATAAAATAACAACGCAAAGAGGCGTAAGAGTGATCGAAAGGAAAAGAAAACAATCGAGACTTACTTATTGTATATTTCTAATTTTCTATCTTCTCGCTCTTTGTCGGCTACGCAGTCATCTACGTCAGCTAAAATCATTTTAACAAGCACCAATGCTTTACGCAAGTCTTCACCTTCATCTGGGGCGATGCCGGTTTTGATGAGCGGCTCGATCAGCAACGGATACTTGGTCAAACGTTGTGTAACAAAGAGTATACATTCGGGTATACCTTTCTTCTTCAACAAGGGATTCGTCTGTGGGCACAAGTTATTTCATTTTACTGCGCCGTTCGATATCGGTCGCTTGCTCCTCGTTGATTAAAACATACCTGACAGTGACGAACGAAACGTGCAAAGCGAGGATCGTTACGCAAGTAATACTTGTACGCTTCGACGGCGTCCCGATGACGACTACAGAATTCCCCGTACGCGCTTTTCATGCGCTGCGCGTTATCGCCCGAGAACTGCTCGACCAGAATGTCGGCGATCGTGGAGACCACGGGATTGGCGTTTTGCCGTTTCCGCAGCTTCTGCAGGAACCGCAGGTGGATGTCTATCAAGTCCCGCAGTCGGGGAAACATGCGCTCGAGGTCCGGCTGACCCAGACGAAAGTGCCGTCGCAGCCCCTCCGCGAAGATCTTCTCCATGGCGAGCAGCACCAGGCAGTGGTGCTTCTCCGTCAGCACGAATTCATATATATGCTCCTGCCTCTTCACCTCACGCTCGCAGTGATCGACGAGACGCAGCGCGACGTTACGTCCGATCGCGGAGCTCCAAGAGTCGGGTTCCTCCTTTCCCAACGTAAGGTCTGGATCGATCTCCTCGAGATCCGCCACCGTGAACTGATGAGCGTCGTCCCCAAAGTCAAATTCTTCCCATCCGCTGAAATGAAAAAGAAATCAGTTTATCAATTTCCCTCATTGGTTCATTGTTGTTCGTTACAGCGTTACGGTTACACTTGGCTGCCAGTATGGGCTATCTTGATTAAAATTTGCGGACTTGTTACAGCATTTGAGAAAATGAGGAGAGATATATTTACAAACCTGGGAAGATCGCGATGTTGCCCGCCCTCGGCATCTTTTTCTTCGTTTATCGTTTGACTGAAAGAAAGACACAGCTTTGTTTCATAAAGCACGATTTACGATTGAAGAAGACAAGTCTTACTCTTCCCTAAATAACGCACACAATGTTGGGACGGACTCCAGTTTGAAAGGCTCTTGAAATTAACAAACTGAGATGCCAGCCTTTCAAGAGGACTGTGAATTTACACGTCTTAAAAATATCCTTCAAGTACGATACAAACCTTGCAGATGATACGTGATATCTTCATTTAAGCGTATACAAATCTTCATCTAATTCTCATTACGGTGTTAATGTATCCGATATATTATTAAACTACTGTACTGCCGTGATAATTAGTGCCGCTCATATCGCAATGCATAGTCAATCAAAACTAGCAGTCTAAGGTAAATTCAGAGAGATTAAAAACGAGATTTTGATATCAGTAGCAAAAAGCCATTCGCAGAGATGAGCAAAAATCTGCAAGAGCCGGAAACCTCGAGTTCAGGTCGGGTGGGACGCAACCACTTGTTTTTCTCGCCACTCCTGTCGTTCCCTCCGGTTAGCTTAAACTTTTCCAGCGATCGAGAACACGGACGTGACGCGTTTACAGGCGACTCGAGGAACAGCGTACCCGTTTTGTACTCTCGATAGACCGTAATCCCGACCCGACCCAACAAACTACTTTTGAGAACGTGACTGTCTGTATGAAAGTCCGGGCACGAGATCTCGTGGCACATTCAGAAACGTGGGAACGATGAGAGAAAGAAACGTGACAAACTATATATATATATATATATCGTTGACAGGGCAAGGTGTAAAGTAGAAAGGAGAGATAGAAACTGGTAAACATGTCATGAACATGTATCTACTGTGATATTATATTGTCCGGTGTGTGTATATATATATACTTATCATGGAGAATTGATAACCTTGCGAATTAACACAATCACGAGCTTACGCACTATAATTTAGACGAGGATTACAACGAGAAGAGATGTAACACAAAATATATCATTGGATGGACACAAATCATAGAAGCAAGCACAAGATCAGAAGCATAGGCGGGGCAAGATGATTGTCTCTTCCAGGTACAAGACGAGACGGCAGAATTCGATTGCCGTTTGCTGGACAGTGTGCGTGTACGTACGTGTCCAGTGTATTTGTGTACGTGTGTGTGTGTGGTGTGCGAGAAAAGAATCGAGGAACGAGAGACGCGCGCCTTCCTACTAGACGCGTGTGAAGCTGGATCCAGATTAAGCAGAGCGCATCGCGAACAAACGCGAACAAGTGACTCGCCTATTCGCGTTTCGTTCGCGCTCGTCTTTACTTGGCCCGAATCCGGCTCGAGATAGTTACACGAACAGAAACGAACGAAACGAACGCTTTCGACAGAATACAGGAGGAACACATCAGATATCAGAGACTTACTTGACTCCAAGCTTAGTGGCGACTCGCCGCCAAGGGCTGTAGCTTGACACGGTTTTCTTGTGGCTGTTAATTTCCCTTTAATCGTCGTACAATCGATCAGTTTGCACGTGGTTGCACGAGAGGGAATGCACGGGAGAAGGAAAAAGCACACACTGCATTAGGGCAACTTCATTTCGCCTGTCAGGCTGTTTTTTCCCCTCATTTGCCTTGCGCTAATTTCTTATCTTTGTTTACGCTTTCCGACGTTTATGCGTCGACGCCTATCTTTAACGAATCGTTCCCCACACGCAAGAGTTTTCTATTCATTGGCAAAATTGGCTTTGTCTCTTTTTCTTCAAATCGCATAAACGTAATTGAAACTCGAACTCTCGGAGTTACGTCAATGTGTCTGATAACTCGTCGTTATCACACAATTACCGACAATATCAGCCGCTAATACTATCTTTGTGTATGTAACAACATCAGCCGCTAGTACTAGCTTTGTGTATGTAATAATAGCAAACCGAAAGCTAGCTGAGGTAGTCTGAGCATGGTATATTCTGTACAAAGTAATACAAAGTAATAATATGTAAAAACGATATTATATCAATCAAGATGTAGCGGCGCGATGCTGAACGCGCTAAAGCTTGCCGTACTATTGATGTTTGCTAAACTGCGAAATTAACCAGAAATAATAAGCTTCTGAGCCAACCAAAGCCTCGGAGTAATAAACAAATGCACAGTTCTTGTTCAAAGCTTCCCACAATCTCGTTTATATATTATTTATATCATATACTAGATGTAAATTTTTTTTTACTTGATAAATTACCGAGTCTTCTTTCTTATCTAAATCTGTATACAGTGTAAAAGGAAACGGCAAATTCTAATCTTGCCAATCAAATTCAGCCTGATTCGAGTTACTCGTTAATCGTCTTGTAAAAGAAGTTCGTTATAAACTCCGAGTTTCGGCCCAGCCATGCCATTTGCGTGCGAATCTTGAACCACAGATACGCAGATCCAATGCAAAAAAAAAAGTATAATCTTTGCCGGTGTGAGCTTGTTACCTTCCGCTCCCGGAGGACGCCGGTAGAGGCAACGACGTCGTGGAGCCCCGTTTGTTGACGCTGCTGTTACTCGAGATCGTGGAGACGTTGGACGAGGACTTCGCCGCGGATTTGCCAGACTGATGCTTAGACTTGATGCACTCCAGCACTAATTGATCCTTGCATCCTTGACTCTGATGAACCGACGCTCCGCAATCTTTGATTTTATAAAAGTTCAGCAAGGTGTTATTCTGTGAAAGTTTTATTCGCGACTAATCGCGAAAGACGTTTAGCTTAGCATAGCAATTCTCTTACTGTCGCAGTGAAGGAGCGGTTTATTCGTCGAATGTTTCATACAAACATCACATAATAAGCTTCCCTGAGTTCCCACCGTCATCGTTACCCACAGATGCTGTTGACTAGTCTTCTTCCCGCTTTTATCCTGAAATAAGATTTCAGCACAATTTCATCGAAAACGTCTCTCTATCGGATCGTATCAGGTAATCTCATTTTGGATCATTCGCTTGCCTTCTTTTTGCGGAAGAAAATAGAGCCGCGCTTTCTTCTAGTCTTTTCGGAATGATGGTCATCGTACGCAGTGCTACTGAAAAGTTAGAACATATACCAACATTGTTCGACTCTGAATCTGGAATGAAATGTTTAAAATTGCATTTTGTAGATGATTAGCGGTGCAACGGTGGAAGCGCTTCCGTCTATTCATAGCTTATTTGCGAGAGACCAAAGTGTGCGTGTAATTTCTGTGAATGTGCGCAGAGCTACGTATTTTCAAATGTGTCGCATGCACAACCACGTGACGTAGTAACTTTTGTTGCGATATATTCGGTAATTTTTGTCCAATGAGTCTTAAGTAACATTAAACTGCCTGCACATACATTTCTAACGAGCACCTGGAGAGAAATGCGAGTTATTCCAAAGAAATAAATATGCATGAGCCTATCTGACGTTTGATTTTGCAGTTGTAATGTAACTATAGACTATTCGTGGCCACAAAATCGATCGTCGAGCAAACCGGTACAAACCATTCCCATCGGAGACGTTAAAAGGTTTTCGCAGTATCGTAAATAATTCGGTTAAATATGAAGGATTTGAGGCATCGGGGTACTCACTCGGTCAAGAGCTCGTCAAGGGATATCTGGACACTCGGAGTGCCCTCCCGGTCTTCGTGGAATTCGTGGCTGTGTGGTGTATGAAGATCTTCGGTTTCTGTCTCACTCCCACTACCCTTTTCGTTTCTTTCACGACGGCTGTTTCATGCAGGATTGTAGCAAATTGTCAAGTACAAACACAAACTAAGCAACTATCGTGTATAATGAATAATTGTAGCTTAGATATTCTCAGGTGATCCGATGCGGAAATGCACGTCGATAATATTTGAAATAATAAACTGCTCGCGTTTAGGAGAATAGTTACGCGATTGGCCGCAAGTGATCGATCAAGTGTGTATAAATTAAGCTTTCGAATCGATAGCAGATACGTTGTTGTTAACTATTTCGGTCCCACGTAAGGTAAAAGCAATTATATGCTTGTTATCAATAACTAACAATGTGAGCCGCGATACTCGTTGGACAAAATATCACTTGAACCATGTTAAATCGCTACCGCGAGATTATATAATCCGACGAGTTTCTTTTTCCGTGCGTTTTATGCGACTCGTGACACAGTAATACGCGAGCAGTCGTAACGACAAGCTAAGAGATCCATATAATGCGTAATGTTTCAGGCATTTATGAATGTAGAGACATCTCTGAGATTTATTCTACTAGTTATAAGTGTTCATGCATAAGTACGTCTGCGTCTGCATTTTCAAAATGAGTTTCTACTTGTGCGGAAAATTGAAAAATCGACGATATATATATATAATATATATATATATATATATACGCGTGAAAGTGCACATGCATGGGTGCCTGGCGCACGCATGAATGTACAACGGCACAAAATATATATATGTGCGTAGCTCTCTGTGTGCTGATTTATAACGAGATCGCAAGCTAGATTACGACCGTCGGGAAGTAAGTGGCGTTTCCTACGTCGGAAAAAAGATAATGTACAAGTATTCGCTCCTTCGCTGCCGTTGATCTAGCTGTGCGATCCTCATCGGTGATTTGTAATGGACTTACGCTGCGAGTGATGGTGTCGTCCGGGTTCCGGTCTCGTTCAAATGCGCGTGAACCTGCGGCGTAACGATCGAGGGCGTCGATATAGATTTCTGAAGAGGTAAACGCGAACCAGTCAGCCCTGGCATTAAACTGCTACTCTCTGCTAATCTCTGACTACCCCTCTTTGTGACTATCTTCTGATATTCGTTCTGTCAAAGAGAAATTTGCCATGTAATGCCGTGGTCTCCCCGCGTTCGGGTCGAGAGAGGGAATCATCTCTCGAGGAATCGCAGGGAAATTACCTGTAAAAGATCAGCTTCGTTCAGCGAGTGCGTGCTCGTTTGCGACCTGCATGCCCGATTGCTTACGCTCACGGGTCCGGTGCACGATTTTCCATCTAATTCTAGCTCGTTTTCGCTGTCTAGGCTACTTAAACTAATGCTGCGTTGTCGCTGAAACGAGTAAACGAGTACGTCGTGATTGCGTGTCGAGCGGCGTTTAGCTTCGCCGAGAAGCGCGATGAGTTAGGCAAACAAAGCGACCCGAAACCATGCCACCATGGCGCAAAGCAGTGTAGGAGTACGATTGTTACCGGGCGTTTGAGACCGATATAATTTCGATGAGTTCAGATTTCGATGCTACGCGGATGTGAGGGGGCGTATTTACGTTTACAATTCTCGACAATGGGAAAACGTGACAATGATATTCTCGCGTAGCATCAAAATCCGCGGCATCGAAACGTGAACTCACCGAGACTGAACCGGGTCCGTGCCCTGGTTTCAACAAGTAACGGGCAATATTAACCATATTTTGGGCCTGCAGGTGATTCTGTCCGGAGTATCGGCGGCGGCCGCGCCGGCTCTCCTCCAGATCCTCCAGATCGCCAGTCCAGCTGCGTCTCCGATCTATACCTTGCGCCTGTTGCGAGCGGGCATGGCCACCCGCTGACGGAAAGTGCGTCGGGGAGCTGTTTGTCGAGCAATTGCCGAGGACAAGGTCCGGGTCGGAGCCGGTTTCGTGGTGGTGGTGATGGTGATGATGATGATGATGACTGCCGGAACGAGACGCGAGTTCGGCCGAGGCCAGCGGGCACAGGGACGGGCAGGAGGAGGTCAATCTTTGCGGAGCGTCGTTGGAGGCGCGAATGTGGAATCCCAGAGTGCCCAGTGTCAGGTCTCGCATACGCTGGATGCAGTCGTGTATCTCGTGCAGTTGCTGCAAATTCTCCTCTGCGGGAAAGCAGAAACTAGTTGTAATGTCTTCAAATCGATTCGTCAACTCTTTTAAATTCTATTTTCAACTCGTTTCCAACATAGATTTTGACTGAGACGGGAAACTTATAGTCAACCCAACTAGTTATTTAATGACCCTATTCTTTTGGGTCCTTTTCGAGTGATGACTAAGTCAGTCATCGTCGTCGAGTAAGACAGAGTCGAGTTATAAAATATATTTATACGTGTGAGCACTGTGGTAGCTGGGCTCAAACTAATTTGTTAGTCATGTCTTAAGAACAACACAAGGTGATGCGTCTCAATTTTTAATCATTACTGGTGACAATAAGCAAACTCTCCTTTCATAGATTTCGATGTTTCTTGTAATGTTATAGATTAATGAATCCTATTTTATTCTGCAAATTCAAATATCGCGTGAAAATCAGGCGTAGAAAAGGAAAACGAGAACTGGATAAATTGGTGTCTAAGGCCACGAGCGTGCCATGTGACACGAGAGAGCCGATCGTTACCTAGGACCGGATAATTTTTGGCCACGCCGGGAGAATGCGGCGTGACGCTGATGATGGGCACCAGAGGATTAGGCTGGGCTTGTATATTAGTGCCAAGTGCGAGTAATGGGTGGTGTTGTTGCTGCTGTTGTTGCTGCTGCTGCTGCTGCAGGTGGTGGTGATGGTGCTGCTGCTGCTGCTGCTGCTGCTGCTGCTGCTGCTGCTGCTGCTGCTGCTGCTCGTCGCCGCCGCTTTCGGACATGATGATCGGCGCTTTGTCGGTATTGTCTTTGGTGTTGTAGCCGGTCTCCGTGATTATGCCGCCGTGTAAACTCAGGCCGCGTAGATCCCCATTAATGATAGGCAGCACGCGATCGCAGTCGGGGTGCGATGAGCCAAGGTAATCGGTTATTACATCTTCCTCGCTATCCTCGCCGCTGTTCGGACACTCGTCTGCAAACATATCGGCGCGTCTATATCAGCAACGCTTGTCGGAAAATCGGAAATCCGGAAACCGGCATTGTCATCGTCGCTCCGTTCCCCTCACTACTGTATCTAATCGAACACCATGTTACGCGGACTCTTTTTTTCAATTTGCTCTGAAAATCGTGTAATCGTGGGGCACGGCATTCCGAAGAGTTTTATGAGTTTTTCCAAAATTTTCACCATACATTTTACTACACGGAAAATTTTCTCTTAAAATTTACCCTGAAAATTACGTGAGCGTGGAACAACATGGCAAATATATACCGAGGCCCGGTTTCACCAAACGTAACGCTGAACTGTAATCTTAGTTTAATTCATGCACCGAAAAAATTGTCTTCTTGAAATGTATACCTTACACACACAAATCCTCTTAATATATCTACTTAATGCAGGTTTCGTTTGGAATATTTTCTTAAAGAATATATTAAGAATATATTCTTAATATTAAGAATGCATTCTTAATTTGCCGCAACTTTAATGATATCCGCCGTGTAGTGCGTCTCGGTACGTGTCAATGACTACGTTTACACGTCACCCTTAGGGCCAGTTTCACAAACATCGGTTAACTGTTAACTAGGGTTCAGTCGACTCCCTATCGTTTTTCATCTTATTATTTAAGAAGAGACAGCGGATCAATTAACCTTTGGTTAGCAGTTAACCGACGTTTGTGAAACTGGCCCTTAATCGGGTTTAATAACATCTGTAGTTATAAAACTGGCCAATCCCAACTATTCTTCAGAAGAATGGAATGACTGTGATTGGCCAGCCCCTTAACTACAGATGTTATTAAATCCGATCAGGGTACCGTGTAAACATAGTCATAGTAATGCCAGTTTCATCACGTTTCGGGTGTTGTTTGTAATTGCTATGTGGTATCCTCAAATAATGGATGAGGAAGTGGTAGAGTGATTAGAAAAAGAAGATTAAAGCTATTTGAAGGACATACTTATGAGCAAGTATTTGAAATATAAAATAGAATAGCTGATGAATCGTGTTAACCTTCCCGACAGAATCTACCATCAATTTCTGATTATAGAAAATAAGGAGAGCAAGCATCAACCAGTAATTAAACATACTTGTAGCTAAAGCTATAAAGCTTGTCGAAAAATCTATTTAGGTGTGTCTATCTCTTTCTAAAGTAACATTTGGAAAGAGAGAAAGAACGAATTAAACTAACAATAAGCTTAAAGTTAGGCGACGTTGGTGAAACCAGACCCAAGTAATTGCACTTAGTATACATTTTACTAGTAAAATCATGTAATCGTGGAACAACGCGGCATTTCGAAGAATTTTATGAGAGCTTTTACACATTTTACTACACCCGGAGAATTCTCTCTTAAAATTTATCCTGAAAATCAATTGATCGTGGGACAGCGTGGCATTTTCAACAACTCTTGTTCAAAATGCCACGCTGTCCCACGATCAAATGATTTTCAGGATATATTTTAAGAGAGAATTCTCCGGGTGTAGTAAAATGTGCAAAAGCTCTCATAAAATTCTTCGAAATGCCGCGTTGTTCCACGATTACATGATTTTCAGGGTAAATGTTAAGATAAAAAAATTCTCTCCATGCAGTTCACCAAATACACCCGCCGAGTCTCACTTCTAGACACAGCGCGTGCAAGGAGAAACGAGGGAGAGAGAGAGAGAGAGAGAGAGAGAGAGAATTTGTTGAAATAACGAGGGGGAAGGTAGTGTAAAAGCTGGTGTAAAAAGCACACAAAGTAGTTAACTGGCGGTGTCCTCGTGCACCGGCGATACGGAGTCCCGGAGTCGGAGGGAGAGTTCGAGGAGCGAGATACCGGAAAAACCGATACCGAAACGTCCTCCTCCCGCCGCCTCTCTATTGACTCACGGGACTGGGAACAAACGAGCGAGTCCGCGACAATCGTGCCGGCCCCCGCGACGGCCTCGTCTCGGACTCCGCTCGCGGAGCGCCGCATAAAGGCATATTCAATGGAAATCAGGTCAGATTGTTGATTTTCCCACTCGAGTACGCGGACGGGGAGGACCGTCCCTACGTCGAGCGCACGTCAGGACGAGTCATCCCCGATTGACAACGTCGTCGAGTACGTTGAGGTCAAACCGGATTCCGGATCGGGCGAACGCGGGCTAAATCCTGAGGCTCTCACGATCTCAGGACGACGCGTGGAAACGCGAGAGCGACGAGAGAACGAGAGTCGTGGCGGGAAGGCGAGAAGAACGACGAGGCGGTCCTTTCTCGCTTCGCGAGAATCAAACGATCCGTTCTCCAGGTCGAATTGTGCTCGAACAATTTGGCATTATCCCTTCCGTGAGAACGTGAACCGGAGGAATCGCAATTCCATACGTAACGTCGCGCTGCGACGGGGCACCAAGGCTGTTAACTGCCACGACTCGTGACGCGCTATCGCGTCGTCTTCATCTCGTAAACCAGGATCCACGTCGTAATTTCCGCAACGTCGACGTCTTTCACCCGCGACCACCGATACGTCCGGTCGTTCACGTAGGATTTCTCACGGATCGTCGGTCCGCGTGTGCAAAATCCAATCCCAATCTTCTCCAAGAGGAGACACCCTCTTCCGCGACCCTCTCTCTCTCTCTCTCTCTCTCTCTAATGATTCTGATTCTCTCTCTCTCTGTCCAGAAGCAACGTCAACACGGTGGATTCCGCCCCGCTGCCCCGTTGAGCTTCTCATCGTCCTTGATGGGCGTGAGAGGAGCGTACCGTGGTTGAGCACTTTTCCGGGTAGAAAGGGGCTGACAGACTGTTGCTTTTCCCCCTGTGTAGCTCCCGGAGCGCGAATTGATCCGCTGGTCCGCGCGCGCCGTCCCGCTGCCTCCGCGCACCCCCGCGACCCTGTAACCCGCCGCCGCCGCCACCACCGTCACACCGCCAACCTTCAACTCGCTCTGCCTCCTCCACCACAGCTACTACCACCACCGGCCACCGGCCACCGCCACCGCGTGTGTTTGTCAGATTTGTATCTTTCCGCCCTGAGCGTGTCGCCAAGCGGTCCGATAGGAATCTTTGGTCCAGCTGCCTCCGGATATATCTCGCGTTCCTTTCCCGCAGATAATCTTCCGCACGCCCGGAATTTTACCGAGGGCGTCCTCTCTTTTTGGGGAAACTGTTGGGAATTTGAAAGCGCTGAGTATCCTTGCAAGTAACGTCATTAAGGATTTCATCAGTGGTTGGTTAACGTAAACGAGATTTGAATTCACTTTCTTTCTTCTCGGAAATGAACGACGAACTAATCGAGTGTAGATTTATCATTTATTTTTTTATGATCATTTGATGCCAACACGGGGGCAAATTGCGACTAAAATTTTACGTTAAAAGAGAATCTCCATGTAGATATAACTACACGGAATTTTTTCTTAAAATTTGATGATATCAGTACTTTTGTAGAGAAGATAAAATGTTTTCTTTTCTAATAAAATATACCCAAATAATTAAATTATATAATTCTTGATCGAATGGCGCTTATACTTGGCGTCTTCTTTTACCTTTTTTTAAAAAGGTTATTTTTTTAGATATAGCTACACGAAGAGAATTTTTTCTTAAAATTCACCCTGAAAATCGTGGGACAACGTGGCATTTTAAACAACTTTATGAGTTTCTTGAAATTTTATCATACATTTGCCATGTTGTCCCACGATTACATGATTTTTAGGGTGAATTTAAAAAGAACTTTCTCTCCGTGTAGAGAATAATGATGTTATTCTTTCGACGTACAGTACGAATCTGAATTCAATTGTTTATAAATGAATCTTAACAGCTGCTTCAACAATGGCTGTTTTTTCATGAGAACTATATCGTCTCTTCCTCTTCGGCACGTGTGACTTTGTCTATGTAAAATAAAAAAGTAGCGATAAAGTTATTATCACTTGAAAAATTGTATATATCAATATATCTATTATATATAGCTGACGAGATATCGAAATTTTATCAGACTTTCTTCGCTTCACAGTTTCTTTTAAATACTTTTTAAACAATGCACACACGCACACACATTACGATCATGTTAAAATAAAGTCTGCTTGAAGCGAACATTTCACATATACGTCCTCAATTTCTCGCTGAACGTGAAACACATGTCTCGCAATTAGATGCAATAAACAATTAAGTGCTTCAATTTACAATAATTCCCTCCGTCTGTTTCACCATCCTCTTCACCGTCCTCTCGTCTCAATTTTTCCATCGCAGAAACATTTCGCCGCGGTGGTTAGTATATACTCGACGTTACAAGCGACAACCCTTTGACGGCGACGGCATCGGTTACCAGGGGGACGTCTGGAGAAAGAGAGAAAGAAAGAGACGTGATCGTGCCGTTCCAGCTGGCATTTGAATGTAGGCCGCGGTGACTCCGAGTCGATATTATCGGTGTTATTAAATATTCTGGCGGTAATGATTTTCGCCGGGGTAGCCCGTAACGATCGCGCCTCCGTCTCGCGAGAACGTTCGATACAGCCGATAATATGTACTTGTTGGCCCGCGCGGCACGTGGAAACCCCACGGGCCGAGGCCTCGCTCGCGATAATTATTTTCGCGGGTGTGATGATGGGAATTCCGTGCTCTCCCCGAGGGTTAACGGCGCGCGGGAACTTTTCTCGATCCCAGCGAAAGTTTTTCGGCATCGCGAGACGCTCGCACCTTCCCCTTCCACCGTTTTCCCGCTCCTATTCTTCTCTTTCTCTCGCGAAGTTTTTCACCCGCGAAGATTGGCGGGTGATCAATCGCGCTACGGAAAAACTAACTGTATTACTCTCGTTGCGCGGTGCACGTTGAGCGCGAAATTGGTACCGCTGCCGTTATCGGATGCCCACGGGATTGAATTTTCGTTTAACTGGATATCACCGTGAGCGCTTCACCACCGCCGATTAACGTTAATCTCATCGCCCTAACGAGGCTGAACGCCGGTGAATTCGCAAATTGGACCCCTCGGCAGAATACCGACTTTGCTCCGCGTGCCAGAGCGTAATATAGACGAGTGAATTAAAGGAAACGAATTTTCTGCCACAGTTGTACAAACAATCCCTGAAAATGTGAAAAAGGAGAGAACAAACTAAACACTTTGCATAAAGAAATATGCTGACTGGTTCACGGAGAGAACTTTTTTTCTCAACATTTATCCTGAAAATTATGGAATCCTGGGACAACGTGGCATTTCGAAGAAGTTTATGGGAAATTTTTGACATTTTCCCATACACTTTGCCAGTAGTTATACTTGGTATACATTTTATCAGTAAAATGTATAGTAAAATTACCAGTGTGTAAAAATTTATAAAAATTAAAAACTATAAATTAATTTCGATTGTACTTAGTTTGTACTTGTTTGTACCGCATTTCGTTTCGTTTGTACCTCAAGGAATAAATAAATAAAAAATAAATGAAAAATTGCCAGAACCCGACTTTAAGATATTTTAATTTTATTAACGTCATTCGAAAGGGCATCGTTTGTACCCGTTTGTACCACTTTCCGTTTCATTTGTACCCTCACGGGGGAGGAAATACTGAATTTTTAAATTTACGTAAGGGTGGGGGTAACTCCGCCATTTTTTTAGATATTCGAATTCTGAAAACGGATACTATTTCGTAGTCGTTTGTACCGCCACCAGTTTCGTTTGTACCTCCAAGGGGGTGATTGTACTGAATTTTCAAAATAGGGGTAGGAGCCAACTTCGCCATTTTTTAAGATATTCGAATTCTGAAAAGGGATACTGTTTCGTAGTCGTTTGTACCGCCGCCAATTTTGTTTGTACCCCTCAAGGGGGTGATTGTACCGAATTTTAGAAGGGTAGGAGCAAACTTTACAGTTAACTACGTGCTCTTGTACAGAATATTTTTCTCAGTTGAGACGAAATGTCTTCCTAAATATTTTTCACGAGATTAAAAAATAACAATCGATACACGTGTGTATTTCATGCATCTCAGAATACAACGATTGCTTCTCTCTCTCTCTCTCTCTCCCTTCACTTCACATAGTATTGATTACCTCAAGAATATTCTTTTGTTTCTGTTCCGACGTAAATAGCAATGATAGATATATATGTACGGCAGAAGACGCATCGAGCTTACCAGCATAGAAGTAAAATAAAATGCATCTCCTCCGATGCACACTACGACAATGTCACTTTCTTTTAATACGCGGTGCTCATTATAATAAAATCTCTGCTCCGATTCATTTTCTAAAATAAGGCAGCGGATGCTTTTTTTACCTACTTCTCTCCTTTCCATTGAATAATATTAATTTACTTCTCGAAAAGTAAGTCCCGGTTGCGCCAACGTCATGTAATTTTAATTGTAGCTTAATTCACTCCTCGTCTGATTTTTCATTTTCTGATTAACTGTTAACCAGAAGTTAGTTGATTCTCTATCACTTCTTGGATAATAACATAATAAAAAAAGATAGAACGTCGACTAACGTCTGGTTAACAGTTAACCAGAAAATGAAAAACTGGGCCTTAGAAAGGGACAAAGAGTGAATGAAGCAGAGTTAAAGTTAAGCGACGTTGGTGCAAGCCTAGTGTCCGGTTCTACCAATGCAGTTTAATTTTAATCTCGGTTTAATTTACCTTCCAACTCTTACAAGTAAAGAAAAAGATAATAGGAAAGTCAAACCGAAAGTAAAGTTGATCTGCATTGATAAAAATGTCGTAACGAGGAACGTCGTACACGTTACGTCGCGAGACTATGAATCGCCAGATTATCCTTACCAGAATTCGAAACACAATATAATACAAATTCACCGAAGCTTCGAGGTAATCGAACGAATACGTTCGTTCTCCTCGCCGTGCGTAAAGTTCCGAGAGAGAAAAAGAAAAACGAGCCACGACGAATTTTCTCTTTGTGACCGCGCGATCAACCGCGTTCTCTGCGAGTATTTTTTTTTCTTTTTCAATACCAAAGTTCACGCGGTTTCAATATGTTTTCGCGCGTGTATCGCGTGTCAGTCAATAAACGTGCACGCGAGCATAAATAAGTCCATGGCTCAGCGGTGAACGCACACGCCTGCCCCTACGCCTACGCAACGAGCGGCCTACGTCCACGCACCTTCCCGTGTCTCCGCGCGACAGAGACGGAGAGAAAGCGCCCGACTGAGGCGGCGAGGCGAAGCGAGGCGAGGCGAGGCGAGAAACTTACCGGAGGAAAACGGGGCGAGCACCTCCTGCTGCCGCTTCTCCATCGTTTCTCGCGCGTCCCACGGCGGGCGTACTCGCTCCTCTCGAACACCGCGCGGACTGCAACAGTCGAAAAGATCGGCTTGAGAGGACGCGCGCGCGCGCGGCGGCCAGCCGCGTTTCCTAGCGTCGGGACCTCGAGGGGCGCGACGGGGCGCTTCGATTCGGAGCACCGTGGGAATCCGCGAGATCCCCGCGCGCGCTTCCGTGTTTCTCTCGCGCGATGATCCCGCGGAGGGACCAGCGCGACCGGGGAAGATTCAAACGGGCGAGGAAGAGAAGAAGGGAAGTCGGGGAGAATCTCGCTCGCGGGCGGCAGACGCCCGCGCGCGCACCTCGTCGCGCTTCGTGCATGCCAGGTATTGACAGGTGGATCGCGACGATCCACCGTTCGATCCGTCGCGTCCTCCTCCTCCTCCTCCTCCTCCTCCTCCCCCCCCGTCCAGACTCCCACGCGGCTCCTCGCGCACCCACGGGATTACGTACCAAAGTGCGCCGTGTACCCGCTTATCCCGCGACAGCCATTTAGCGTAGCGCACGTCGGCGTCCCCGGGGCGCGTCTCTGTCTCCGGGCGCGGCGGGTGCTCGTTCGGGCAGCGCGGGGTAACGCAGTCTCGCGTCGGCAGGCGGCCACCGTCAGCGCGACACGGTCAAAGGCACGTCGGCCATCTTGTACTGGCCGGCAGTGCCGGACCGCGTCGCCGCCGTCGCCCCCGGTGTCGGGCACTGTCGGGCGCCCAGGCGGCAGAGGGAGGGAGAGGACTTGACGTAAAACACGGCGACTACTGACTATTTAGGCCGCTTTCCTTTCGGAGGACGCACGTCGACGCAAGTCAACGCACTCGAGCGCAGTTTGCCGAAGAAGATTTGAAGGACGGGATTTTGAGGAAAGTTTGTGCCGAGAAAAAATTCTATCGAGATACTCGGAGTGTTCTTTGGTCGACAAACACACTCCTCCCGAGCGGAGTCGATAAGTGCCATGTCGACTGAGTTTGAATTAGATTCCAATTGTGGAAAGTGACACACGTGTCGACTTGTGTCAAAAATGTCGACTGTGTTGTTTAAAAGGAAAGCAGCCTCTGCTTGCAATCGTCGAGAATCAGGCTCTCGAGCCCGATTGACGGAGGCAGGGCGATATTCATACTATCGCGGCGTAAGGGGAGCGACAATCGGGTGAACAAAGGATCGAATCGTTGGACGATGCGTGACTTTTGTTTTAACTCCGAATTTCAGCCGCACCTGTTGCATCTCGTTTCATTCCCCCGTTTCTCTTCTGACAATGAGTCCTTCCGTTAATTGTTATCTGGGAGTCAATTTCTGGAAGTTACGAAAATGACAAAAGTGAGTGAATATTTATAACTTCAACCTGTGAATTCGCTTACTTTTGTAATTTTTACAAGTTACAGAGATACATAATCCACCTCCTCATCTTATTCTTGTATTCACACAGTTTTGACATTTTCGTAAGTTCCGGTTACACGCTGTATCATGGAGTCAGTGAGATCAAGATCGGTAAACTCCAGCATCCCCCTCGGGCGACGCCAGCGCCAAAAGTGGCGAAATTTTGATTCACGATTTTGCGATAATGCCGGCCCACAACACTGAGTTCGTAAAAGATGAAGATCAGAATTAAAGTAATAAACGTGACTGACGTTGCGCTTCTATTTCTTCGAAATGCTCTTTTTCTTAAACAAAAGATTAGATATATAACAATATAGAATGTCACTAAAGTTTAACAAAGTATTGCAAAGTATACGTACTTGCAACCAGTCTACCTCGCTTCCGTTTGAAGAGACAAATACCTTTAAAAAATATAATACATATATTTACATTTTCGCAATTTATTGTTATTATTACTCGTTAAATAATTTTCTGAATCGATTTGTCGAAAGAAACCGCGTTACTTTTATTCGAGCGTTCAGTCATTGTCTTAAATTAATAACCTTGTATCACATAATCATCGTGCCGCAACAAAACACTTGCAATAGCTTAACGCTAAAGCCTAATCTACAATGTGCTTTCTGCATCTAGAAACATTCTATTTTATATAAACAAATCGAAACGCTTAAGACATTTGTCGACAATGTACGATTGTACAGTATGTAATTCATTCACTTGCGCAAACTTTTTAAATGTATTTAGTGACTACAAAATAGAATGTTTCTAGATACAGAGAGCACATTGTAGATTAGACTCACTGGTAACGTACATTTTCGTTTCTCGCGATTTCGTTTGGTACGTAACCGTCGCGACCACATTGTCGTTTGGAAGAGAGTACTTTAATACTGTCGTTTACACCAAAAGCTCCCCGCTCTCCGCAGTCTTCCTGGGCTCGGCGTTCTGCACGGGATTTCTCGAATACAAAATGACAGCGAAGCTCACCATGGCTATGGAAACGATGGTGTTGGCGCTAATCGGTATGCTAAACAAAATCCAGCACAGCATCGCCGTGAAAACTAGCTCCACCGCGCTGGCGAAGGTCTTTAGTATCGAGTTCAAGGTCTTCAGAAAGAAGCTCGTTATTATCCCGACGAGCGAATTGTTCAACATAATGAGAATCACTTTCGGCTGCAGAAACGTACCGAGCTCGACGTTAGCCAGCGTGTCGCTCGCGCCGCTCGTAAACGCACTTAACAGGATAATCGCCACGACGTTGCAGAAAATACTGTCGATGTACATAAATACATTCTGTATAAAAATGTCGATGTCCGCGCCCTGCCGCTTCAGCAAATATTCGTTATATACACCGGCTAGACAGGAGCATGTTGTCTGCAAAGCAAGATTTTTTTTAAGAGAAAAATTGTGCCTACGTATTGATAGATCGGGCGACTCACCTGTACAAGAATTAAAAGTAGAAAAATATCCGCGTGGAATTCCGTGCCAAGGACGCGGGCGTCAAAATGCTTTACCATGCAGCCGACTGTCAGGATCAGCAGAGAAAACCACTGCGTCGAGGATAACTTTTTTCTAAAAATGACCTAGAAGAAATCTAGAGTTTTCACGCCATTCGCTCAGCGTCCGTCGCTCTACCCATACAGCACAGATGGTTGCAGTTACATTGCAGAAACGTTGCAATCTTGCAGAGACATTGCAGGGATATAAAATTGCAAACTTTCGATAGCAATATTGCAGCAATGTTTCCAAAATGATAAAAATACTATATTTTCTATTTAAAACATTTTTCTAATTACGAGAATTTTATAATGTTACTTTCGTTGATACCAATAATGCGCGAATTATTAAGTACTTGATCAGTGCGGCGTTGCTCGCAATCTCCATCTATTGCGAAGCGACATAATCTCCTTAGGTTGCTTCGCAATAGCTTGCCGTGTATTGAAAAAGGCCCAGATGCATATGTAATTAGTAAATTCTCTGCTTATGTACGACAAATTATTCCAAAAATATTGCACTGCAACATTGCTATAATGTTGCACTGCAATCTCTCTGAGGGCGGACATTTCAACGTTGCTGCAATCCTCCAGAAACGTTGAAGCGATGTTGCGCAACATTGCTGCAATATTGCAATCTTGCAATGTAACATTTCTGCAATCTTTCTGTGCTGCGTGGGTACTAGAGAGCAATGCATTGTCTATACCTGGAAAATAATTCCCGTAAGTACAACGCGCAGCTGCAGCAGGACGTAGTAAGTTGTGGGGTCAAATCTAGCCAGATTGACAAACGCTAGATTGTTGTAGAGGCAGTACAAAAGCGCGGGTATCATATACAGCAGAAGCACTGAAAAACGACACAAGTTCTCTTTAGTGCCCCTCGGCGTCGATCGCCGCTGGATCTTTCGCAGCGCGATTCGTCGGAAGATTCTTTATCTCCACTTCTAATCTCACCCTTTTTGTTCCTCCTCGTCTCCTGGAGAAGCGTCAGAATGCTATTGCTGCAAATTAAGATGAATCAATATTTTGCTAAGGGAAATTAATCTGGGACCGCTAGTTATGCGAATTCTTCAACTGCTTTACTTACTCTTTGCAGTACAGCGCTGTAGATATGACCAGTTTTAGAACCTCCGTCATCAGCACGACCGCTACAATGTTGTACTCGTAGCGGCCGCTTCTCTGAGACCACGTCACGAGAATACCTGCGGCAGACGGTTGCACGTCGCATTTCTTTTTTTTTTTTGACAATTCACGCTTGATTAATGACGTTTTATTTTTCTTATCTGTCGCGCGCAGCGACGAGAACGGAAGCTGCTTGCCGAGAACACATGATCAACACGTACCTTGGTTCACGAACAGAGCTATGTAAGAGACGAAAATGACAGGACTCCACCTTCCTGGGAACAACTCGCCCCAGTTTATCCCACCCATTATCCTTCGGCTTTTCCTGGCCGCTTCAGCTTGAACAATTTCGGTGCATCATGTTTGACAGTCATTCCTTCTCCGGTCTTGTATACGCATACCGCACGCAACGGCCAACATCAGCGCGCACTGGTGAAGGCCGGATACTGTCAGACTGATACCACTATTACCACTACACGTATTGTGGCACTTTGCGCATGTGTGCACGTGCTCCAATAAACGCACGCACTTGTGAACGCCCACGCTCTCGTCAGCCGCGTGAATTCTATTATTATTGTATTTGTCTCAATCTCGGAAATGCATTTGCCCTCGCAGTTGCTTCGAAACGGTGGAATTACATTTAACACACGTATCGTCTATTAACCTGTAGAACTAGTCATCGTTTTTTTTATCTACAAACTGGATTGCGCATCGCTATTAATCGCGCACCGTCGCTGCAATACTTCGACATATCTTACAAAATTTATCATTATCGGACCTAGCGCTTGATTGTGTAGTCAATCAGTAAAATACTGATAATAGCATATCAGTAGTGCGATATTAGATTTGTTTTCTGTCCCTGCACTGGTGAACTAGTGCAGTAAGCTAGAATGAGAAAATACC